CCAGGAGGGCTGTGAGCCTCCCAGGTGTCAGCGAAACAGAAGCCTGAAGAGTCCTGGGATCCAGTCCACTAGCTGTGTCACACCTACAGCCTTCCCTTGTGTTGGGTGTCTGTCCCTGCCCTGTGACTCTCACAAGAGCAAATCAGACCCCAAGGTCATGCCCCAGGAAGATGACAGGGAGACCTGAAGGAGCCTGTCCCATGGGGCCAACCTCAAACACTTCTTCCCTGCAGTGTTGGCCATGGGTGCTGCGCCCCTGGTGCTGGGTGCCATGGGCTTCACCAGCGCAGGCATCGCTGCCTCCTCCATAGCTGCCAAGATGATGTCAGCAGCTGCCATTGCCAATGGGGGCGGAGTTGCTGCCGGTGGCCTGGTGGCCACTCTACAGTCAGCGGGTAGGTGTCCTGAGCAAGAGTGAGGGATGAAGGGGAGGATCGGGGCCAGGATGGGATTCAGCCTAGGCCTAAGCCTGAGGGAGGGCCTGTCCTCTCCCTCCAGTTACCTGGTCCTCAGTCCCTGGTCCTATGTCTCCCCTCTGCTGTCCCCTCTTTTGGTTTGGGGTGGGTGGGTCCAGGGGTACAACCCAGCAGATATGCATTCCCAGCCAACCCTACAAAACCTGGGCAGGTCCTCCCCTCCCCCCCCCCCCCCCCTTCTAGACTCCAGCCTCGTCTAGAAGGTGCGGTGCCTGCCATTTCTCACAAGGTCTGCCCTGTCTGTCACTGGTGGACTCACCACCAGAGTTCATGCCTCCTCTTTGGGCAGCCGCTCCCCAGAGCAGACATCCTAAGGTTTTAGGAAGTAGAAGAGGGAGCAGGAGTGGGATGCTGGGGCCTATGGCCACCCGAGGTTCCCTAGGATCTCTGACCCCCCTCCCTGGCTGCTAGGGCACCCTGTGCCCCTGTGGTTTCACCCTCTCTTTTTCCCCAGGGGCAGCTGGACTCTCCCTGTCATCCAACATCCTCCTGGGCTTGACTGGGTCATCTATTGGGGCCTGGCTGGGGTCTAAAAAAGAGGAACCCTCTTCCTCCGAGAATGGTTCAGATAAGGATGGGAAATAAAGAGGAGATGCTGTGACCTTCCCCTGGTGCCCGTGCTGCGGTTCGTGGACAGGGTGGGGCGAGCTAGCGGGAACTCTGTAGGAATGAGCACCAATACCTCCGCCACTGGACGCCAGGTCAGTACTGTCACTCACTTGTGAGCTTGAGGAGGTCAGGTCTCCCCTCTGAGCCTCAGTTTGCTGCTCTTCAGATGGGGACATGGACCAAGTATCTTCGAAGATCTCAGCCAGAGCCAGCGTAGTAGGACGACCTGGCTCTGGGGTCTCTGTTTGTGCCACTGACCCTCAGCTATCAAGTCCTCTAGCCTCAGGCATTATCGACCCCTCCCCTCCCCGCCCAGGACTCAGGGTCTGGCTCCATCATGACTCTAGAACAGCGATTTTCAACATTTTCATCTCATGCACACATCAATGAGTTACTAAAATTCTGAGGCACACCAAAAAATATATTTTTTGCCAATCTGACCAAAAAAAAATAGGTATGACTTTGATTCATCCAGTCCACTAGCTTGTGTTCACACCTACAGCCTTCCTTTGTGTTGGGTCCCTGTCCCTGCCCTGTGACTCTCACAAGAGCAAAGCAGACCCCAAGGTCATGCCCCAGGAAGATGACAGGGAGACCTGAAGGAGCCTGTCCCATGGGGCCAACCTCAAACACTTCTTCCCTGCAGTGTTGGCCATGGGTGCTGCGCCCCTGGTGCTGGGTGCCATGGGCTTCACCAGCGCAGGCATCGCTGCCTCCTCCATAGCTGCCAAGATGATGTCAGCAGCTGCCATTGCTAATGGGGGTGGAGTTGTTGCCGGTGGCCTGGTGGCTACTCTATTGCACAGCAGGTCCTGGCCCTGAGACTGACTTGCATGACCCCAAGCCCATCACATGACCTCTCCGGACCTTGATCAGTTTGTTTCTGAGTGCCCGGTCTCTACTTCCATCCTTCTGACCGTGGTCCCGTGCAGCCCCTCCCGTGGGTCCAGTGCAGGCGCAGGGATGGGCTCACTCTAACCCACACAGGCCCCTTCCTTTCAGCCCACCCTACCAGGCAGTGCCCTTGCTGTGCTGGAGGCAGCCTGTGCTGGCTTGTGAGAGCCCATTGATCAGTGTTTCCAGGGACTTCACAAGCCATTTGTTAAACTCAGCCATGGCTTTAAGTTAACTTATGTGAACCTGTGATTAAATAATTTGTATTCAAAACAAAGGTAATACCCCGGCCGGTGTCGCTCAGTGGATTGGGCATTGTCCTGTGTACCAAAAGGTCACCGGTTCCATTCCCAGTCAGGGCACAAGCCCAGGTTGTGCGTTTGGTCCCTGGTAGAGGTGTGTTCTGGAGGCAACCAATCAATTTCTCTCTCACGTTGATCTCTTTCCCCATTCCTCTTTCTAAAATAAGTAAAAACATATTTAAAAATAAACTTAATAAATACTCCAAACTTGCCCCTTGTAATTGTTTTCCTGTTACCTATGCTCTTGGGTTATTCATACCTATTGTACTGCGTGGAGGTGATATTATAGAACAGGTGGCACCGCACATCTGGTCCCATCTTGGTGGGTAGGGACTCCAGGTTGGCAGCTTGAAATCAGCTGTAGTGAAAATATTTACACCGAGGAAACTGGCAAATGTTACCGGATCAGGGCTTGATTTGTTTTCTTCAGTGTCTAGACATAAGAGTGATGGAGAAAATGTTAAAAGTCAAGATTAAACTTAAAAGTATGTCTTGGGTGAATATTGTGATATGTACATTGTATCTCTGGTTTTTAAAAAAATGTCTGTAGGCATTACAATAAAAATACATTATAAGAATTTGAGGGACTTGGGCTGCCATTCAGAAAAGGACTACCTGATTGAGTGAGGTTCTCACAGACACCTTCAGCTCGCTTTACTTGCCAACATAAAAGAAAACAGCATCCAGCATTCACGTTGGAACCACACTCATCTGTCAGTCGAGGGCAAGCATAGGTGGGCTATCAATACACCTGTTTGGAAAATCAATGAGAGCTTTCTAAGGGAATCGATGGGCTGTGTGCATACATGTGTATATACATGTGTATGTGTGTGCGTGCATACAGATAAACATATTCCCTCCTCTCCCTCTGGTTGGTTAATAAACATTTGGCTGGATGCTTCCTTCTCAAGGTTTGTGCGACGTTTTCTAATTTTCTCACTTTGCTGTTCTCCCAGGGAGAGCCCCTCTGGTGCCACAGGTGACCCCACCCTCTCTGCAGGCAGACCTCGGCCCTGAGCTGTCACTTGGATGTTTCCCATCCCCCAGATCACACAGCTCCCAGGCCAGGGTAGAGGTGGGGCCCTGGAGCTCCACGGGGCATGGTTTGGGTGCCCCCTCAGCAACGGGACCCCGTGGTACTGCCCAGGGGGGCCCACCACCTGGGTTGGCTGGGTATGTGAGCGAGACATCAGAGTTGGAAGCAGCTGAGGGAGTGATGGATAGGACACGGGGAAGAGAGAGGGGGATGCCCAACATGGTCTGGGGGAAGGGGACAGAGGTGATGAGAGGAGGCGCACAGAGGCTTTGGTGGGGAGGATGGTGAACCGTGTGCTGAGCATTTTGAGTTGGAGGTGTCTTGGGACATCCAAGCTGGAAGCAGATCTGGAGGTTCCCAGGAGAGGCTGGGGCTAGAGGTGTTTGGAGCCTTCGGGAAGATTGCAATGAAAGCTGTGGGTGTGTACAAGCTTGTCTCGGGCTGGAGGGGTGGGGGGTGATAGAGGGTTGGGTGCACCCTGAAGTGACCCATGGAGAAGCTAGACCGCAAAGAAATGCTGTAGCTAGTGTGGAGGCTGAGGGAGGGGAGGTTCAAAAAGGAAGGTCACCCAGGGTGAATGCCGAGAGGTGCCATGGGGCCGAGAAGTTGTGGGAGGCAGGCAGACCAGTTGGCAAGCCCCTGCCAAGACCCAGGGACAGGGGTGTCGGGGGGACCTGGGATGAGAACAGTCAGCTAAGATGGGCGGGCAGATTCCAGACCCATTCCCAGGTTCAGGGGAGCTATCACCTGTGGGAAGTGGAGAGAGGAGGCGTCCAGCCTGCACCACAGGCTTTTGGCTTCTGTGATTGACAGCTGGTGTCCTTGGGTAAGTAGGGAGCCCAGAGGAGCCAGGGAGAGTGGAGGAAGCCTGCAGCCCGGGCAGAAGGTCTAAGGCAGCCGACCTCAGGCCTGAAGCTCAGCAGTGGTCAGTGCTGGGGAGCAGGTGGGTCAGCCCTGCAGAGGGGGCCTGGAGGGAGCTGCCTCCACGGTGGAACCCGGGAGTGAGCACACAGGAGCGTTCAGTGTTTGTGGAAGGAATGAGTGAGTGACAGAGCGACTGGCAAGTGTGAGCCCTGAAGAGCTGTCCCAGACGGGCGAGCATCAGGGGACAGAGGCTGAGAGCTCTGAGGGGTGACCGGCCAGTGTCAGATCCTGCAAAAGCCAAAGGCGCAGGGGAGGCGGCCTGCAGGTGCCGCTGCTCAGTTTGGCTCCAAGCATTGGGGAGGGCAGCTCGCTGAGTGGGCGGCTCCCACCGCTGCAGGACCTCGGGGAAAGAAGGGGAAAGGAGGCGAGAGAAGGCACCTTCCAGGAGAGGTTTGGTGAGGAAGGAAGGGGGCACGCAGGCGGCAGCTGGACAGAACACCATTAGATCAGGTCAGGAGGGGATGGCTACTTGCCTCCTTCCCTCCCTCCTCCTCCTGACACTTCCTGGTTGAGTGGCCTTGGAAAAATCCAATGGATCACTTTAAGCTGAGCTCCTGTTGTGATACAAATCCCATATCAAAATGGGATTCAACTAATAGCGTAAAATAAACACTTGCATGGTAAACAGGAAACCTCGCTTTCCCATGCTCTGACCTCGTGGCAAAGGGAGCTGGTGGATTCCAGGGGCTGAGCAGGGAGCCCGGACACCATACACCCCAAAAACGCTGCCAGTGACGAAATGGTGAGAAAAACTAGAACTCAATTCTACAACATCTCATTTTATTACAAACCCGTCCTTGTGTTCCAGAATCAATGGCTATTTAATATACAACCCAAAGCCCTTTGACAATTGACCATGTTAACATTTCTCAGTACTTTAGCTCAAACGGAGAAAATCTTTATAAAACCCCAATCACCAGGTTTAGTACATCCCAAGATGAGCACCTTTAGTAGCAAGAGGAAACAAAATGTGTCAGGAACCCGGCCAAACACACAGCAGCAGGTGAGACTCCCGACGCAAACAACTGACTCCCTATAGAACACAAACATAGTGTCCCCCAAGAAAGGTACACAGCGGTCAGACTCCCGATAAATATGAATGACTTCCTATGGAATGTAAACATGGAGTGTCCCCCAAAAAAGGTACACAGCGGTCAGACTCCCGATAAATATGAATGACTTCCTATGGAATGTAAACATGGAGTGTCCCCCAAAAAAGGTACACAGCGGTCAGACTCCCGATAAATATGAATGACTTCCTATGGAATGTAAACATGGAGTGTCCCCCAAAAAAGGTACACAGCGGTCAGACTCCCGATAAATATGAATGACTTCCTATGGAATGTAAACATGGAGTGTCCCCCAAAAAAGGTACACAGCGGTCAGACTCCCGATAAATATGAATGACTTCCTATGGAATGTAAACATGGAGTGTCCCCCAAAAAAGGTACACAGCGGTCAGACTCCCGATAAATATGAATGACTTCCTATGGAATGTAAACATGGAGTGTCCCCCAAAAAAGGTACACAGCGGTCAGACTCCCGATAAATATGAATGACTTCCTATGGAATGTAAACATGGAGTGTCCCCCAAAAAAGGTACACAGCGGTCAGACTCCCGATAAATATGAATGACTTCCTATGGAATGTAAACATGGAGTGTCCCCCAAAAAAGGTACACAGCGGTCAGACTCCCGATAAATATGAATGACTTCCTATGGAATGTAAACATGGAGTGTCCCCCAAAAAAGGTACACAGCGGTCAGACTCCCGATAAATATGAATGACTTCCTATGGAATGTAAACATGGAGTGTCCCCCAAAAAAGGTACACAGCGGTCAGACTCCCGATAAATATGAATGACTTCCTATGGAATGTAAACATGGAGTGTCCCCCAAAAAAGGTACACAGCGGTCAGACTCCCGATAAATATGAATGACTTCCTATGGAATGTAAACATGGAGTGTCCCCCAAAAAAGGTACACAGCGGTCAGACTCCCGATAAATATGAATGACTTCCTATGGAATGTAAACATGGAGTGTCCCCCAAAAAAGGTACACAGCGGTCAGACTCCCGATAAATATGAATGACTTCCTATGGAATGTAAACATGGAGTGTCCCCCAAAAAAGGTACACAGCGGTCAGACTCCCGATAAATATGAATGACTTCCTATGGAATGTAAACATGGAGTGTCCCCCAAAAAAGGTACACAGCGGTCAGACTCCCGATAAATATGAATGACTTCCTATGGAATGTAAACATGGAGTGTCCCCCAAAAAAGGTACACAGCGGTCAGACTCCCGATAAATATGAATGACTTCCTATGGAATGTAAACATGGAGTGTCCCCCAAAAAAGGTACACAGCGGTCAGACTCCCGATAAATATGAATGACTTCCTATGGAATGTAAACATGGAGTGTCCCCCAAAAAAGGTACACAGCGGTCAGACTCCCGATAAATATGAATGACTTCCTATGGAATGTAAACATGGAGTGTCCCCCAAAAAAGGTACACAGCGGTCAGACTCCCGATAAATATGAATGACTTCCTATGGAATGTAAACATGGAGTGTCCCCCAAGGAAGGTACACAGCGGTCAGACTCCCGACAAACATGAATGACTCCCTACGGAATGTAAATATAGGGTGGTCCAAAAAATGTGCACACAGTGAAAAGAAATAATAAATCAACTCCCGAAGGAAAAGAATGGCTGCCTTTTGAACATATAGGGTGTCCCCCACAAAATGTACACACAGGTGAGACTCTGGTGGAAGAGAATGACTCCCAATGGAACAGATTGTATAGTTCCAAAAAAATGTGCACACACTTTTAACAGCTGACAATTCACTGAATCTTCACCTTTTCAAGTTTAACTGATTTGAAGAAATGGGTGAAGACAGACTAAGCTTTGAATAAAGAAAATTTCTCCACTAGGCTTTTTATGGGGATACATAAAAGAGAAAAGTCGACGGTAGACAACAGACAACGGTTGAGGAATCCAGGGCAGCTATGGAAAGAGATACGTACAAACACCCAACCGAAGGAACGATTCTTGGTGTTTGCGCCTCCATCGCTCGCCTTAGTTCTGGCGCTGCTGCTGAGGAAGCAATGGAATCGCAAACACCAAGAATCACTGCGTTCTGTTTGTGCGCATCCTCTGTCCACAGCGGCCTCGATGCCTGGACTGTGGCCCGTTCTGTACCAGACACTTCATCCTTTGTGTGTCCCCAGAAGGAAGTCCAGAGGGTATATCTCCTTTGTTCAAAGCTTAGTCTGGCTTCACCCATTACGTCAAATCCGTTAACCCTGAAATGGAGTGAAAATTGAGTTATCAGCTGTTAAAGTGTATTTACATTTGGGGGGACACCCTGTAGTATATATATTTGGGGGACACCTCAAAGCACATATATTTCACGAGGGTGAACACATGTATGTAATATATTAAATTTGGTTTCTACCCCAGGTAGTCACTCAAAAATAATAAATGAGAGTCTCATGCTCGATGGCGGACACTGAGGCGCTGCAGCCACTTTCCAAATCAGGCTGCACCTGCCTCTCGCACACGCTCCCCTCTGCACACTGTGGACACTTGCTAGGAGGGGGCGGGCAGGGCTTTTCTTGCCCATCGCCCAGGCCGGGCAGACCCAGTGTTTACAGAAAAGTGAGCAGGGTGGCCCAGGAGCCAGCTGGAGAGAGGCAAAGCCTGAGGCCACCTGCCTGGAAGACCACCCTGGCCTGAAGGATGTGGGGCCCAGGCCTGACTTGGCAACACTCTGGGTTAACAGTGAGCCTGACACCAGGATCCACCCAGGACCTCAAGTTTGGCTGGTCTGGGCTTCTCCTGGGACCACCAGGCTTCTGGGAGAGGGAGTCGAGTGTCCGACCCACGAGGGCCCAGCCCTGAGAGAGTGCGTGCGTGTATCTGCTCCCCCGCACACGCACACGCACGCTTAAATGGAGGTGAAGTAGCTAACACGTGTCCTAAGGGGCACGCTCACATAGTGGCTGCCTCTGGGAAGTCGGTTCATCATTGCATTGTGAGCATCCCCAGGCCAAAGTGCATTTGTTCAAAAGATACCAGTGGCTGGAGGGTCAGACAGGAGTTCCACATATGGGTGTGTGACCCTTAGGGCTGGCGCAGCGTTGTCACTAACAGGATAAATGGAAGCAGCACGGGAACCCCTTTCCTCGTTCTACAGCCGCTCCAGGCACCGCAGGCAGACAGGAGAGGAGGCCGTTGTCCTCAGAGGCACGTTGGTAGTTTGAAGGCTCAGGAGCTGCTTTGGGGTCAGGAGGAGGGGCCACTATGGGTCCTCTGGCCTTTCGGTACGGGTCATTGGTGGTTTTCCTTTTTTTTTTTTCCTTCATAAATGGGGGGGGGGGGTATTTGGTGAGGAACTGGTAAAGGGAAAGGAATCTCAAGTGTCTGGGAAAGGGAGAGCCTATTTAGAAGGGGGTGGGATGTCCGAGGATGACCAGCACCGAAGGCGCTTCAACAAAGCCGGGCGGGCCGCTGGTGACTTGTCTGTCTGCTTCCTTTTGTTCTTTTTGTGCCGAGCGGCTACATTGTTATTCGCAGATAACCCAGGAGAAGAAGGAAAAAAGAAAACAACACAAAACACGAAATAAATGAACTGAATAATAACAAATGATGCTACATTGGCTAAATGTACTTGGGAAACCAGAATCCTGTCCAGCCCAGGAGAGATGGAAACAACACCCACGGCACAACCAGAATCAGGACTCGGTGAATCATTTAGGCTCCGACTCCATTTAGTTAATTCAGTGGCACCCTTGTGCCAAATGCTTTACTTAGCACGTGAGAAGTCTATATTGCTCTAGGAGCTGATGTGTTAAACCATTTTTCAGTTTCAATGTGTTAAATTATTAAATAAGATGTTTATTAATTTAGGACCTGCCTTTTCTTACTCATCCTTTTTTAAAAATACGTTTTTATTGATTTCAGAGAGAGGAAGGAAGAGAGAAATAGAAAGATCGATGATGTTTCTATCATGGATCAGCTGCCTCCCGAAGGTCCCCTCCTGAGAATCAAGCCCGAAACCCAGGCACGTGCCCTGACCAGGAACCAAACCGTGACCTCCAGGTTCATGGGACGATGCTCAACCAACTGAGCTACATCAGCTGGGCTTACTCAGCCCTTTTAATGACAGGCTTCCTGACACCTTGGTGACACACACTAACGCCTGCTCCTGTTCAAAGACCTTGGAACACTTAACGGTATGTTTCTGTAGTAAAATTGTCTACCTAACTATTCACTAATACTTTTTTTCTTAAATCCTCACTGGAGGATATTTTTTCCATTGATCTTTAGAGAGAATGTGGAAATAGGGGAGGAGACAGAGAGAGAGAGAGAGAGAGAGAGAGAGAGAGAGAGGATAAGTTTGAAAATAATGAGAGTACCTACCTCTGCCAAAATAGCTAGAGCTCTACCTCTTTTTGATGCCAAAACACCCTCAACATCAAGAATTATTCCTGTTTAGCCCTAGCTGGTTTCTCTCCCTGGATAGAGCATAGGCCTGTGGACTCAAGGGTCCCAGGTTTGATTTCGGCCAAGGGCACATGCCCAGGATGCAGCTCAATCCCCAGTAGGGGGCGTGCACCAGTAGGGGCGTGCAGGAGGCAGCCAATCAATGATTCTTTCTCATTATTGATGTTTCTAACTATTTTATCATTCCTCTCTGAAATCAATAAAAAATATATTTTAAAAAGATATTCCTGTTTAGATTCCTACATATCCTCTACTCTAAGCCTACCCTCATGGCCTTTAAATTATAGTCTGACCAGAGCAGACAATTGGTCTAACTTTCTGAGCATGTCATGTACATGAACATAACTGATTCACCTGATTTCTGATTGAGGATTCAAGTCCATAGAGCAGCGGTTCTCAACCTGTGGGTCGCGACCCCTTTGGGGGTCGAACGACCCTTTCACAGGGATCGCC